GCTCCTCCGTGTGGTCACAGAATGAATCGTCACCCCTGCAATGCAGCGCTGGCTTGCGTACTGTCTCTCTTACATGCCTACTTCATTTTCCCTGTATCTTTAGTTACCTACTTACATGTCTTCTTCCCTTCTATGCGAGCATCTGCAGAAGAGAGGCTGTATCTTAACTTCTCATTCAACAGGTATTTTCTGAGTGCCCATTATGTGCTAGGCACTAGCCTAGGAATAATAAGTTGGAAGTGAATGATATTGACCAAGTCTCTTTTTCACATAGCATATTATCTTGCATTTCCCAATGCCTATCATCAGTGTGTTGTTATCTATTTCCATATAAACAATTACCCCCAAACTTTGCAGCCTAAGACAAACAGTTTCCGAGGATGTCTTGGGTGTGCAAGGAAAGCTGAGATTTTGTTGATTTTTTTCAGACCAAAATTTTACTAAAAAATATGTTTATAAACAACATAATCTGGGAGGAATTTAGGAGAAGTTTAATGAAGTAGTGCTGGCTCAGGGTCTCTCATTAAGATTGTAATCAAGATATCGGCCAGAGGAGAGTCATCTGAAGGCTTGACTGGGCTAGAGAAGCTGCTTCCCGGCTCTCTCATGTGGCTGTTGGCTGTGGGCCTCAGAACCTCATCACAGGGGCTTCCCATGGGGTGTTCATGACATGGCAGCCGGCTTCCCCCCAAGTGAATGTGCTGAGAGACAGAGTGAGCAGAAAGGAAACCGCAGTGCCTTTGGTCTCATCTCAGAAGTGACACATTGTCACTTCTCCCCTCTGCTATTGGTCACACAAACCAACCCTGGTACAAGGTAGAAAGGAATCGCATAAGGGGTAGGGCCATCTTGTAAGCTGCCTGTTACCACAGGGCGATCTATAGTGGGTCTTCAATAAAGGCCTCTTAAGGTTAATCCTTAAGTCAAAACCTCTACTTTTATTTGTAATAGTTTTTTTTTTAGAGCAGTTTTAGGTTTGCAGCTAAATTAAGTGGGAAGAACAGAGTGTTCCCCTCACCCTCTGCCTTCACAAGTGCCCAGTAGCCCCCACAATCAACATCTCCTACCAGGGAGGCCCCTTTTTTACAGAGGATGAACTATCAATTCATTGACACATCATAATTTCCTCCGGAGTCCCTAGTTTACATTATAGTTCATTCTTGGTGTTTCATAATCTATGTTTTTTTTGTTTTGTTTTTTAATTTGTCATGGGCAAGTGTGCTCATGAAGTGGAGAGGGAGAGAGAATGAGAATGTGGGAAAGCACTGCCCATGGGCTATGGTCATACCACAGTCCATTCTCCCCCATCCTGTTCTTGGTATTTGGGGACACGCATACACACATGACTGGCATGTTTCTCAAACTGCTGGGTTCAGAACTTGAATCATGTAGTCAGTCATGTGGGATCTAGCCACCCTTACCACTATGCCACTGGCTGGCCCTTCTATGGGTTTTGCCACATGTCTGATAACATGTTTTAAAATTATGCCTGGAATGTAATGTATAGCGGTATGACTGCATGACGTCATGAAGAGACCAATGCCATTGAAAAAATCATTTATTTCTTACAGTTTTTGAGAGAAGGGGGCCACACCATGCAGAGTCACAGAATGCCAGGTTTGGTCAGGCAAAGCAGGAGAGAGAGGGAGGCAAAGGTCAGACTCTTTACTGGAGTTTCTGTGGTCTGTGGGCAAGGCGAGACTGGGCAGAGTAACCATGAGGACTGGCTAGTTTGATGGACTTTGGGCTATAGGGATTTTCTCTCTTTGTCTGGTGCCAGGCCCCGGGATGACTGAGGGCAGCAGAAATATCGACTTGGTGTGTGAGGGTCAGTCGGTCTGCACGTGAAGAGTGAGCTGTAGGCAAGCCGACTGCAGAGGGGAGGGGAACGCTTGGTCCATGATTAACGAATGCCAAATAGACGTACAGAGTCTAAGAAAACAAAGCTAGACACACATGTGTCCACCATGACAGTTTTATACAGAGTAGTTTTACTTCCCTAAAAATATCTTTACTTCTCGTATTCATCCCTCCCTTCTCCTTAATCCCTGGCAACCACTGATCTTTTTATTGTCTCCATAGTTTTGCTTTCCCCAGAATGCCGTGGAGTTAGAACCATAGGGTATGTAGCCTTTTCGGATTGGCTTCTTTCACTTAGTAATATCCATTTAAGATTTCTCCATGTCGGGGCCAGCAGGTGGTATAGTGGTTAAGGTGCTGGACTGCCACATGGTCAATCGCTGTTCAAGTCCTAGATGCAGCAGCTTCAAACTCATGTTGGGTGTGTGCGTGCATGTGTGCCCAAAATCCCAAGAGGAGAATGGAGGAGAAGGGATTATGGTGTGGTCATTCCCCCCAAGTAAGAAATCACCCCAGAAGGTGATTTCTCTATCTCTTTCTCTCTGTCTCTCTGGTGAGCACACATGCCCTATAGCAAAAATATTTCCCTCATAAAAAGAAAAATTCCTCTATGTTATTCCAAGGCTTATGGATAATTTATTTTACTTATTTTTTTAAACAATGATTGGTCCTGATTTTGCTGATTTCTTCACTTTGGAGTGTTTTTTATCTTCTACTAAGCATAAACAATTTGAAAAGTTCACTCAGCTAACATGCTGCTGCTGCCCCCACCCCCAAAAAAAGTCAATAAATGTGTTTTGGACAGCCTTAATAACTTGTCTGTCTCTTAAATTGTCTTTTTTCCCCTTGTAGTCATATTTTCAACAGGACTTCATGTTCTGTTTCTAGCCAGTTGTGGAAAAATCTCTTTTTGAAACCCTTATTACATTCTAATTAAAATAGATTATGTTTAAAGCACAAAGTAATGAAGTCCTGCAAATGAACAAGCTTAGGTCTCTCAGAGGAGCATCTGTGTTCTGTATGTTGGTTGACAGAGAGACTTGTCATGAGCGGGTGCTTGCTATTAAACAGAAGTCTCAGGTAGAGGGCAAGGGAGCTATTCCTTTTTATGGGGAAAAAAAAAAGAGTGTTATTATTTCAGTTTGACCCATTCCTACAGAGAGTTAGCACTACACATGTAGATGACAAAGTGAAATTCAGGATTTGAACCATAGCCATTTGGGAGTCCAACACCTCTACCTCCACTCCTCTTTCTCTCTTGCTCTGTCTCTCTTTGGTGAGTTCATGCACCCTATAACAAGTTAAGGAAAAAAATAATAAAAAGTAAAATTTGTAAAGAATTTGGGTTAGCTTTATTGAAGGCTGTGGGACTTTTCCTCTTCCTATTCTGCCATGAAGCTAAGGAGGAAGCAGGGCTAACCAATATTTAAATAATATTATACAACATTATAACTACCATTCTGACTCTTTAGGGATCTGAATTTTCTTTGATCAATTATAGCCAGACAGCTAGCAGCTCTCACATACAGAAAAAGAAGAAATGGTATCAGAAAGCTATGCATTTAGGGACAAAACTGGATGTAGATTCTGCTGTGTGGAAGGGTAAATACTAAAAAAAGATTTAGAGTGAGTGAGAAAAATGACTCCATTTCTTATCTTAGTGGAAAATCAGGTTATCTCTTCAAAATTTGCTAATACTTAAGGATCCGATAAGAATAGTCATTGAATTTGTAGTTCTTAACAACTCTGTACCTCAAGCCTTAGGGAGAGTCTGTAATAGCTCTGCTTAGATGTTTCATCAGCAGTGTTTGCAATAAAATGGATGAAATGAGTGGAACATGTCCCTCATGTAGCAATACCTGTGGGGGCCAGGCATTTTGGATCTTAAGGCATCCTAAGGGTAGTAAAGCCTACTGAAGGCTAAGAAGTAGTAATGATACCTAAGAGATACTAATAGTGCTGGAAGTAGCTCATGGTACACAGAAATTTACTGAGCAATTATGCCATTTTTCTAAATACCAATTATTTCAACTCTCTTGTCAATCTTCTGCCTTTACATCTTCCTTACATGCAATCACTCTCAAAGTGGGGGACAGTCCCCCTGGAGGGGCTCTCACCCACAGGAGGTGGGGAATTAAGCATTATGGGGTTATGCATATTTCAGAAAAACAAAACAAAACAAAAGTTCTCCAGTGATTCTTACATACCCTGCTGGCAATCAGGGTGGAAGAACATTCCATTCATTCTGCTTTCAGTTCACATAGCAGGTGGAGGTTGGTAAATTTCCTGGCCTCTGTGTGAGCAGTCTGAGATCACCTGTCTCCTGACACAGGGCTTGCCAGTAGGTAACTTTTGACTTACTTTATGTACAAAAGGGTTGGACCACATGTCCTTTAAGGTCCATTACACTGATAATATTTCACTGTTTTATTTTGAGCAGAAGCTCGTGAGTCTTGAGTGATTATGCAAGATGTAGTTACTATACTTTCCAGTAAATCTAAACCCAAGGTGATGATCTTAGATCTGACTTGTAAATGTGTTTTGTTTACACTCCTCAGTATTCTCTAATTTTTTAATTAGTCACCGACACTTGAAACTAGAGTGATGCCTTAAAAAGTCTAAGTCTAGCAACCCCTGGCTCCCATTCCTACCCAGCTATCTCTTCTGGAGTAAGCATGCTTGCCTACAGTCCCACCTGGCCCATTTTGCTCATTCCCTTCTCTTCTTGGCCACTCTAGAAGTTTGAGTTTGCAACTCCGAGTTCGAATTTTCTCCATGTTCCCTGAATCATTGGGGCAGTGACACATCAGCAAGTCCTCATATTCAAGGGTATTTCAATACTTTTTACTGCTTTGACTGGCTCAAGGAGAGTGGGTTTGTGTGAGCACATGAGCTGTAGGCATGCCTGGCCTCTTCATGAGCTCAGAGGCTTGGAGGAGAGCTAGAAGCTAAACATCTTTCCAGATGATGGTTCTGGAAAGCTCCCCATCAAGGGCTGCATTACAGATGTGCAGAAGGGTCATGAGAGATTCAATATGAACATCTGTGTGCATCAAGAAGAGAGGAGACCAAAAAGGAAAAGAGTTGATGGGGTTTTCAAGTGTCTTTTTTCCTTCCTTGTTTTACCCTTTATTGTCCAGGTCCATGCCACAAACGGCGGGCAGGTGGCTGCTGTACCCAGCTGGGCTCCCTGTCGGCCCTGAAGCATGCTGTCCTGGGTCTCTACTTGCTGGTCTTTCTGATTCTTGTGGGAATCTTCATCCTAGCAGGTAAGAGCAGCCCTGTTATGTCCTGTCCTTTGGAGTTAAGGAAAGAAGACCTGGAGTCTCCACTCTTTGTTTTCACTGTCATGAGCCCAAACACTGCCCTTGTCACCATGGAAACCACAAGAGAGAAGCTGGACAGTTTTACTGACCTGGCACAGCTCTTCAGCAGCCTTCCCTGTTTTGTGTGGGTTGAGCTAGCCAGGGCCATGTGAGTTTGTAGAATCTCTGAGTCTAGCAGTAGAGACCTAATAGCTCAGAGTGTGGCTTCTAAGTTTTCCTTCATCAGTGTGGGGCACTGTGTATTATACTGGACATCCCTGAACATCTGGGGTGTGATTTGTACTCAGCAGGTTGGGTATCTTCTTAGCTCCTGTTCTGAGGTGCCATGGAAATAATCATGAGGTACTTGGGGCCATGACAAACCTGCTGCCCTTTGCGGTTTCTGAGAGTGGAATGGGTTTGCCCCAGGCTCTTCTCCCCAGTTTCTGTCTGTGAGATGGGCAGGTGACAGCTTGGTTATGGGAGCATGTTCTGCAGGGAGAAGCAGAGCTCACAGACTTAGGAAGGGATCAGCTAGGGGACTGTTGGACTATGCTTTGAGAATCCCAGCTCACTCCTGACAGGTGGCCCCTGAGAAGATGGGGATGGTGAAGTAGATGGCTGTTGCAGTCTCCTCCTAACCCATGTCCAGAGGAAGGGCTGCTCAGTTCCCACCTTTCTTGTCGGTGGTACACAGGGCTTGACTAAGTAAGGCCAAAGGATACATTTATTACAACTAATATGTCTCATGAGTACCTACTTGCACTCTGGGCTAAGATTGGGGACACAACTAAAGAATACCCAGGGGGTTCTCTGAAGTAGCTCCCAGTCTGGGAGCTGAGGCAGTATCATGCAGATGGAGCTTTGTCTCAAGGCAGAATGTGATGGCTACTATGGTGAGGTGTAAATAGTGCCATGGTGATAGAGAGGAGGAACACACTGTGGATGTGTGGCTCTGGTATGGAGGGTGGGGTTGGTTGGAGCAAAGATGCTGGCTGACTTGGAGTGCTGAGGGTGGGGTCCTTGAGTTAACTCTAGGGCAGAAATCTAGAGGATCAGCCCTTACAGATGATCTATTGCTGGAAATCCTGAAGCAAATGCCCAGGACCTCCCCTGGTCTTGACTCACTTTCCATCAAGTGGGATTCATCACTTGGGTGCTGTAATGGGATGTTCAATGCTGCATGCACCTTTAGGTTTCCACACTCAGAACAAAGGCATGAATCAAGGGTGGTATCTGTCCCACAAACCAGTGACCTGAGAGGGGTAGCCAACAGCAACAATGAGAGAAACTAATGATTCATCCCAGGTTCCAAAGGATGATATCCAGCAATACTCTTCATGGGCCAAGCCAGCTAGAGGATTATTTGAATATGTTCTTGGGCTGCTCAGTGAGGGCTTAGGATCTGGGTTTTGTGGGTTTGGCTTCCAGAACCATAACAAATTTCTGGAATGTTTGGAAAGCATTTCAACCCAGCAGGAAAGCAGGACTGTGATGTTACAACTTCTCTGGGGAACAGGAAATTTGAGGTGACAGAAAGGGGTCTAAGGGAGAGGGCCCAGACTAGTGGAGGGCCTGGGTCAGGTCTCCAGAAGCCAGGAGGACCTGGAAGGGCATTGGTTCTTGGAGAACAGAAGATTTGCAGATAAAGAAAGTTCTCTTTGGTGTGTAAAGACCTGCAGTGTGGAAAAGAATGGACATGCTCTGTGTGACCAGAGAATAGGACCAGGATGAATGGGTGGATATTATGAAGAAAGATTTCCATTCAAAATAGAAGAGAGTTTTCCAGTGGGTAGTGCTGTCCAGCATGATGCAGAAAGGCTTTCCCCTGACTTGGAGGTCGAATGGGATTTATGATGTTGTACTGGAAGCTTCAGAAAGGAGGGTGGAACATGTTTTTCTAATCTAGTGAGTATGTTGCCATGCTTCTTTAGTTGTTTCAAGTAAAACCTAGTGAGAATTTCAATGATTATAATCACCATTGAACCTATAGTTTCTGAGCCCACATTGCATGGAGTGAAATTAGGGGGTGAATTTAAATTGATCTGATGAAACACAGTGTAATAGTTTATCTCTTGGCTCTGGGTAAGTGGCCACTGTCACCTCCCCAAGTTCTTTCCTGGAAAGTCAGGTTGGCCTCTGAGACAGATTAGGTGAGTGGTCAATGACTCAATAGCTGTCCCTCCC